ACTATTGATGTATACAACATAAGGATGAATCAGAAAAACATTATGTATGATTCTATTCATATGGTATTTTAGTAACTACTAAAGTAACATATTTAAGTCAGATTATTGGTTATTGGAGGTAGTTTTGAGTGGAGATCTACTTCTATGATGTACCAGATAAATCGGCAAATGATGGAAAGTTTCCTATGTTGCTGTGGTGGTGACACAGTTGTACAGCTAGATATTTTGTCAGTGTTCCATGAATTATACTCTTAAAGAAAGTTAATATTATTTTATGCAACTCTATTCAATAAATTGATTTTTACAATTAGCATTTTCTTAAATAAGTGTGACATCAAGTGTGTAGACATATGTATTTTTATTTTTCACATATATTTATGTATCATTTTCTCACTAATGTTCCTCTAGAATGAGTTCCTAAAAATGTTATTGTTCTGTCATGAGGAAGATTGCTAATAATAGCTAAGGTTATTGATGAATGACTTGAAAAGTTTATAAAATTCCTTATTATTTGTAACATAATATTTCCATACCAATTTCTATATACCTGTGCCAGTATATATTATTAATCACTTTAATTTTTACATAAAGAATAGACAAAATATGTATTCTGATTAAATATTAGTAAGTGTTATTATAGGAGAGAAAAATATTTTTGCAGTGATTGATATTTATAGTACTTTTTTGTACATTTTATATATTGCAGAAATTAGCATTTAAATTGTATGATACTATTAACCATCTACAGCTTTCTCTTAGCCTTGTATAATTGAAGAAGCATGTAAATACTTTCATGAAATAAATTCAATCAAGTACTTATAGCAATTAGAATTTATATTTTTATTACAGAGGTGAATACAATTATAGACTTTTTTGGATTGATAATATTCAAATTGTTATGTTTGTGCAATTATTAAACTATGGATATTATTGGAATATGTGTCATTTTCCAAATATTATGGACTGATTTCCAAAATGATTTAGCAAAATATCCATCTTTTTTTGTTTGCCTGGAGTTTCTGCAGTTGAGTTCATTTATTAGTCTATTCTATATTAATAGCATAGATTTTAATCTTCTCATTTCACTTTCTTTTTAATATACTTTAATGTCCACATGATAAAATGAAGTGATTTTACAAATGCAACTTAATGAATTTTTATATGTGTATAAATACATTCATAAATCTACCAACCAGATTAAAATATGAAACAATTTTAGCACCCTGAGGATTCCCTCAATTACTTTCTTCATCAATGTCCTCCCACCAGAGGTAACCATGGATAATTTGTTTTATCTTGTCTTGAATTTCCTTTAACTTCACAGAAATAAAAACATACTATGTGTGTATTTGAGACCAGCATACGTACTTAGTATAATTTTTGACTCAAAATATTTAGTTCACTAATTTATAACCTTGAATCCCAACATGCCATTGTCAAATAAGTACATGGACAGCAATTCATGGAAGAAGTTAATAATTTATTAGATACTATGCAAAATTACAATGGCTTCCCCTACAATTCTAGAGCACTAGTTTGGGTCACAATTTTTAATTAGAAAGAGCATGGTGGTTCATGTCTGTAATTCAGCTACTCAGGAAATGGAGAAGGGGAATCATGGTCCAAAACCACCCAGGCAAAAACTTGACAGCCTATCTTAAAAAACAAACTGAAATCGAAAGGACTGGGGCATGGCTCAAGTGGTAGAGTGCTTGCCTGGCAAGCATGAGGCCCTGAATTTAATCCCTAGTACCACAAAAAAAATTGTGTGCATGGCTAAATACTAATGGTGTTAATGCCTTGCAATTCATACAGAGAATAATATTTACCTTTCTGAGCATTGATTTAATTTAGTTTATTGAAATAGAAATTAAAATGTTGAATCCATAAATTTGTTAATCTGTTGTATGTGATCATTTATGCAAATATTGAGCAGGGACTCATCATATATTTAAGCAGGAAGGAATATTTCCCTATTTTCTCTATATTCCCCAGAGAAATGGCACCAACTTCTCTGCCCAGTCACTGCTTACACAGGTAGGTATATCACTGCCTAATGGATTGACTTTTTCCACTTCACAGAGGGAGTAGATTGTAATATTGGGTTTTTACCTGTGTTACTTTACATTGATGTACAAAGTACAAACTTTATGTGTATGTTTTGCCACTCATAGGTCTGCAACATTTAAGAGTAGTAATATGGGCAAAGTACATTATGTACATGTTTGAAAATGTCATAAGGAAACCTGTTATTTTGTACAGTTAACACCAGCCAAAGAAAAAAAGAAATGTAAAAACATTTTAATATGAATAACTAATAGAAGAATAGTAACTAATATTCTTTATATTTTGTTTTGATGGCTATTAGTATTTTTAATAGTGAATAATTAATAAGAACAAATGAATGGAATAAGTATGAGAAGTCTTAGAGGGCGTTTGAAAGTCAACTAGCGTACCAGGATGGAGACCACATCTTTCAACATATGTTTGGGCCAGACAGGCTTCTCATGCATAATGTTTTTCTACAAGAAATTCTACCAGAAGATGGCCAGCATCAGATAACCTCAAAAGACACTCTGAGACAGATTTCTGAGTTAGGAAGTTTTTGCCATGGGAATCTAGGATTACCAGACATAACCAAGCTGCATAAAGTGAAAAGAAAGTTGGAAGATATAATGTAGAGGTGGAATTATATTGTTCAGAGACACATGCTTTTTTGTGACATATCATGACAATTATTTTAATGAGGGATTTCAAAAATATAAAAATAGCTTAATGAAACATGAAAAATTTAAAAATGAGAGGGAGGAGACAGATAGGACAAAAAAGAGTAATACAGGTAGAGTGAATTTGGTTAAAGTTCATTTTTTGTTTGTTGTAAATACAACAATGAAGCCTCTGTACAGTTAATTTATGGTAATAAAAATTAAATTAAAAATAAATAATATCAGTATTATATCAGTTTTCTTCTGTGAACAGATGTTTTTTGCTTTGTGTTATTACTGTTTTATTATTTATTTTCTTATTTTTATTATTGTACTAGAAGTATATTGTGACATTTACAAAAGTTCTTATAATATATCAGAGTTGAATCGCCACCATCATTCTCCTTTTTTTTTTCCTTTTTCTTCACTGTTTTTTCTTTTCTTTCTTTTTTTTTTTTCATTTTTCTTTTATTATTCATATGTGCATACAAGGCTTGGTTCATTTCTCCCCCCTGCCCCCACCCCCTCCCTTACCATCCACTCGCCCCCTCCCTCTCCCCCCCCAATACCCAGCAGAAACTATTTTGCCCTTATTTCTAATTTTGTTGTAGAGAGAGTATAAGCAATAATAGGAAGGAACAAGGGGTTTTGCTGGTTGAGATAAGGATAGCTATACAGGGCATTGACTCACATTGATTTCCTGTGCATGGGTGTTACCTTCTAGGTTAATTCTTTTTGATCTAACCTTTTCTCTAGTTCCTGGTCCCCTTTTCCTATTGGCCTCAGTTGCTTTTAAGGTATCTGCTTTAGTTTCTCTTCGTTAAGGGCAACAAATGCTAACAAATTTTTTAGGTGTCTTACCTATCCTCACCCCTTCCTTGTGTGCTCTCGCTTTTATCATGTGCTCAAAGTCCAATCCCCTTGTTGTGTTTGCCCTTGATCTAATGTCTACATATGAGGGAGAACATACGATTTTTGGTCTTTTGGGCCAGGCTAACCTCACTCAGAATGATGTTCTCCAATTCCATCCATTTACCAGCGAATGATAACATTTCGTTCTTCTTCATGGCTGCATAAAATTCCATTGTGTATAGATACCACATCTCCTTTATCCCTTCTTCCCCATTCCTGGAATAGTTTCAACATGTTTCATTTTTTTCCATTTACGTACATGTGTACATAATATTCCCACCATATTCACCCTCCTACACATTTTCCTTACATCATCCTTTCCCACTGCCACCAACCCCTCAGATAAGACCTGTTTTGCCTTTCTGTTCTCTGTTTTTGAAAGTAAGACATTTTTGCTTGTTTAAGATAGCTATATAGGATGTTTCACTGTGACATTTCTCTCTATATATTATAACCTGATTCATCCCCTCTATTTTTCTCCTTTCTACCCTAATTCCTTTCTTATGGTGATTTCAACAGGCTTAAAAATTCTATATTCTTTCTTGTACTGGAAATACATCAACCATAGTCACCATACTTAAGTGTAGAAATCAGGACAGAGAAGATTGTAGTAGAAAAGAGAATATTGATGACCAATGTGCTACTGAGTTGCTAGCTACCTAGGACAAACTTTGAACTTTCCTAAAATGAAATTTGCATCAGATCAATGTAGATCATAGCAGCTCTGGAAACAGCATATGAAGATTCTTTACCAGATACTTGTTTGTGAAGAACATCAATCATGCCTTGTTTGTTCTACCGCAGCAGTAACTTATATAACTACAAGGGCAGCAGTTTCTCTCTCTCTCTCTTTCTCGCCCCCCCCCACACAAATACACACAAATTATGGGAAGCAGTGAATATATATGATAGCACATAATGTGAAAATGATTAGCTTTATTTAAAAACAAAATTACATTTCCCACAAACAAACTTTTAATCTTGAGTATACACAAACATGAAAACAAAATATTAAATTCAGTTAGTTGGTGGTAAATTCCATTATCAATGCTGTTGGGTATGATCCATGACAGTCAATGATTAGATTGTCAAATTCAGTCAAATTCAGACAGACAGTAATGAGATTTTAAATAATTCTGTTGATATCCCTGGAGCTTCATAAGAAAATAACCCAAGTAGGAAGCAGCAAGCAGAACTTCTTAGTAGTAGCTGTAGCAGCAAGGACGGTAGCAGACATATCCATATCTTCCATATCCAGGGCCATAACCACAGCCATAGCCATAACCCAGGCCACCATAGCCACAACCTAGGCCACCATAGCCATAGCCCAGGCCACCATAGCCATAGCCCAGACCACCACAGTAGCTTCCATAGTGACACATGATGTCAGGAGTAGAAGATTCAGTTGATGAAGATGAGTATCTTTTGGAGTCTAAGACTCCCAATCCGTGCAGGTCCTTTTATACTGCCTTAGTGGTAAGGGAGGCAAATCATAGACTATTTAGGACTCACCCTCAAGAATGTCCTAATCATGTGTTCATGACCAAATTGCCACTGTGTCAGGCTGTCTACAAATGAGATCATGAGCTTTCTAGACAAAAGCATTCCTTCTTCTGTGGCATTTGTTTACTTAAAATCCCAGTCTTAAAATTGGCAATTAGTCCCCAGGTGACCACATAAAGGATGAGAGTCCTGCCTCTGGAGACATTTTATTTTTCTTTTTTCAATCTCTTCCTCTTCTTGAATAAATACAACTTTGCATTCACAGAGTGGCCTGACATGATTAGGGAATGACAGATAATTAAGGAAGCAGGGAAATACACCTGTATTACCTGTAAACATAAATCTTTACATTTTTGGTTCAGAATTTTGCTTATTATATAGGAATAAAAATTCCCTGTTTTAATTAGTTTATAATCTCAGAAGGTAACATATTACCTCTTTGATCACCCTCACTTTCTTTATACTGAAATAGTTTGCGTATGGGTCAAGAAGATCTGAGAATCTATGCATGTATCTTCAGGTACTATAAGCACAGTCCTAGAGTATGTTTTAATCTACATAGAATTTGAGTATTGAAGTTTAGAACATTTCATTCAGTTTTTCACTTTTTGCTTATTCATCAAATATTTATTAAGAATCTCCTGTATCAGGCACATTATATGAAATGATAATAGAAAAGATGATCAGAATAAGCAGTGCTTCCACTTTCTGAAGTTAAAATTGAGCTAAAGAGGAAAGGAGACAAAATTTTTTTTAATGAATTAGATAAATTCTAATACTGGTGATTGCTATGATGATAAAATTCTGTGAATTGTTATCAAATAGAAAAAGTTATTGGGGCAACAAAGATAAGGTATTCGTGAACATTGTCTCTTAGTGTTAAATTTTAGTTTAATTAGAAGGTGGAGCTAACCATTCCTGGTGTTATTTTAAGAAGGATAAAACTAAGTACACACACAGGTACATTGCTGCCAATATATATGTGGTATTTTTGAGGAGCTGAAAAGCCAGTGGGAAGAAGAGTGGCAACAGATGAAGCACATACAGAAAGACAAGGATCCTGATACCAATTAGCATCCAAGTCGTCAAATACTCAGCTGGTATACAAATTCAAAATTTCAGGCTGAAATTGATTGGAAAATACAAGGTACTTAGAGCCTTGACATTGAGTGTGCTCCACAGAAAAGAGCTTGGATAGAGACTGTAAAAGAGATTGATATGGAGTCTAAAGCTTGCTAGTATTTTGTGGTCAAACTCTTAAACCAGTCAAGCAAAGGATAATTAGAGAAGCAGCTTGTGAGGTTGGAGACAAACAGAACAATGTGCTATGAAGGACTCCATGAAGTACAGGAAAGCTTTGTAGAGAGACGACAGAAAGTGATGAATGAGATGATTTGGACATGTTACATAAATGACAACAGAGAAACAATCTGTATAGTTCCCCAGACTTTCTTTAAACAGTAGAAACTCAACAGTTTGTTGAGAGTACTTGCTGATTGTTACAATGTCCCCAAACAGATTTCTTTATCATTTCTTCATGAGTAGTCTGATTATGTGTTTTTAGCATTTTGTTGACGTGATGTTGAGTTCTTGTTAGTACATCATATCATAGGTCCAATGACATTACTTTGCTCCAGTAGTTTGCTAACTTTTATCACTTGGTGTTCACCAGGTTTATAAGAAGGTTACAGTTTTCTTTAATTTTAGGGAGAGTCTTTGAGAGTAGATTAAGTATTTGTTGCTTTTAAAGTTTATACTGCTTTAGAACCATTTAATTATTTTAAAAAATAAAACCTACTATATTTATCAATTTTCGTTTTGTTGAAAAGAATTTTCTGAGCTCCATTTCCGAATTTATTCATTTATTTCTTGATATTGGTATGAAATCATAGTTTCTTACCTTCTTCCACATGTTCTTATCCCTATGAAAATTATTTATAAGCACCAACTAGCTCACACTTGGCCAGCAAGGGCTTCTTCCAGTCTTATTTATATATTTTTCTCAGTCTTTGAACACATCTTTACTTTCTGCAGTGTTCCAAGCTGTCTTTCTTGTTGCAGCCTTGTTAGTTTTGATATAGATATTGACCACAACTTGATGAGAGATAAAAATACTTCTCACAGCCTTTTAAATGTTGATACAATTACTTGTTTGAAGTTTTATTTGAAAGTATGACTGGATTTCCATCTTTGGTTGTGATCTAACATTGACAACATAAATTTTGGAGAATGTATGGCTCTTACACAATTGTCACTAGCTGTCATTAAAACTAATTATATCTGATTGGCAGAAGAACGGATTTTTCTGAATCTTCAGACTAAAAGTTCAGATTAATGCCATGACTTGATTAGAAATTTTAGAGTGACATGATCATGATCTATTTGTTAATAACACTTCTATCAAAAGCAGCACTGATTAAAACTTTGTCAAAATAATATATTTATGCACTTTATCTACCAAAAAATACCTTCAAAGCCATACATCAAAAGGAAAAATTTTGGATGAGTAAATAATTATTTCATTTATCTTTCTTTATATTAAATTCTACTTTCTGTGCTTGAATGTTTATGAAACCAGTAGTTTCATAGTCTCACATCTCTGATAAATGGGGGAGTGGTCTTCCAAGTTATCTTCAGTACTTTTATCTCATCGCCTTTGAAGGAAACACCCTAAAACTCCACTATTTGGCCCTGAACTGGAACAAGTGATAAAAATATCCACTGGGAGGTTATAATTGTGGAAATTAAGAGAAAAATAATTATTTATGGTTAGGATCAAGTCAATAGAAACTTGGGAATGCTCCAATTACATGAAACATTTACAATTGTAAACTGAAGACCTGGTGTAAATGACAATTTTATATGTATGACTGTACAGTCTTATTAAAAGCATCCTGATTGGCTATACCATGCCTCCTTAATGCCTTCAGGCACCTTCTGTCAACACAGTTATTATATTAGTCATAAAATTAGACAATGGCATGGCCACATGTTGTGGGTCCCACCCACACTGAGGACATATAAAAGGCCCTCTGCAGGCAGAAGTGTCCAGACTCAAGTCACACACTCCTTCTCTACCCAAGGACAACCTCAACAACCAACACCATGTGTGGCAGCTACTATGGAAACTGCTATGGTGGCCGTGGCTATGGCTGCTGTGGCTATGGAGGCCTGGGCTATGGCTATGGCCTGGGTTATGGCTATGGAGGCCTAGGCTGTGGCTATGGCTGTGGCTTTGGCAGACTGGGCTGTGGCTATGGCTATGGCTCCCGTTCTCTCTGTGGCTGTGGTTATGGATGTGGCTCTGGCTATGGCTCTGGATTTGGCTACTACTATTGAAGACACCATGGGAGACTCTCACCCTTTCTACCAGTGACATCAAGATTCACCAATTCTGAACCCCACATGTTCTGAGCCTCACCCTTTGGATGATGATGAGCTTGCAATAGAAGTTTAGTATGGTCTGGGGTTGACTTATGTGGAATCTAACAATTCCCTACATTGGAGCAAAGTGAAATTCACCTGAGACCTCATAATTCTGCTCTCATCACAATAATAGCATCAGAACAACTGCACTGATGACTTTCATGGTTGAGCTGATTTTTATGTTGACCTAATAAACTTCTTTAAGCCAAACAATAAACATTGTTTTAATTTATTTGATGTTCAAAAATTTTTACTGATGTTTTTTGGTTTCAATTTCCATAAAAGATAATGGTTATCTTCTTAGGAAGGTTTTTTTCTTATTTTTTCTAGGTTAATTTCTTTACATTGTCTACTGTTGGTTGTCATAGAAAAGTAACATAAATTTTGTAAATCTCAGTTTCTTTCTCCACTAATAGAGAAATATTTGTCATGCTAAGTAACTCATCACGAAGTGCAATATTATCTATGAATTATGTTGAGAATTCTAAAGCTACATGATAAATGATAATGTAAAATAATAGCTGCCATAATTCCATGTGCCTTGTCTTAATATAAATGAATGTTGTGATGATATTCTTCTCCTTTCTAATCTTGCTTAAATTTTTTTAATTAAAAAACTACCTCAGGAAAGTTTTTACATCATGAAATAATAGTAGATCATATAACTACTTGGCCTGCATGTTAGGTAATAATAATTGAATAAAATAATATTTTAGGTTTGGAGTGAAGTTTCTAGATCTCTCAAGGGAGTGCCTGAGGCATGGGTCAAATCTGTGTTATCTCTTGAAACTCAGCTGAGGAAGAATCTTTCTCCATCCTGTATACCTGTTGGCAAAGTTCAGTTCTCTGTGCTTGTGCAACTAAGGGGCTTGCTGTCTAGGCCGGCAGCCTTTGCATGTTGTCTGTTCTCCAACTTCACTTCCAAGAAGCTGCCTCTAATTCCCTGTAACATGGGTACCCAAACATGGTTGCATGCTTTCTCAAACCCAACAAGAGAGGGAAAGGGACTCCGGGGAGACAAGTGCTATAATTTGATGTGACATGATCACATACACACAATTATTTATAACTCATTACCTTTGACATGCTCTATTGTTAGGAGCAAATCACAGGACTTGCCCACACTCCAGAGGAGAGGATCGTGCAAGGGTATTCCACATCATCAGGCAGAAATCATTCAGGCACCTTGATAATCTGCCTTCCTGAAAGGAATGGTATATATCTTTCATAACAGGAATTAGGAGATTTTCCTTTATTTGCAATGCTCTGGAAAAGTTAAAAGATTGTTGGGATTATTCTATCTGTGAAGATTTGATAGAATTTTCTTGTGAAATCATTGGGATAATAGGCTTGTTTGTAGGAGCATTGCTTTAATAATTTCCTCTGCTTCTTCCAAAGAAATTAGTCCCTTGATAATTTCTAAATCTAGGGTTTCAACTTAGGTAATCCTTATTCCCTTAAGAAATTAAGCATTCCATCTAGGCTTTCAAATTTATGTCCATAAATATCTGCAAAATGATCACATACGCCTTAAAAATGGCATTTGTTTGGATAATTATCTGAAATGTTATTTCACCCTTGCTATTTTTTATTCCATATAGCCTTTCTCACTTTTTTCTGTATCAAATTGACAAGTGCTTCATTATAGTAAATTCCTTGAAATAACAGTGTGTTAAGTCACTTTTCAAGTCTTTTGTCTCTTTTCTATTCTCTTCTTCATTAATTTCTGCTTTTCTATTTTTAACTTCCTTCCCCTACTTTTTGTTTCTAAGTAAAATATTGGGAGTCAAGTACCTAGGCTAGTGCAACTTGTATTTACGCAACAAGTCTGTTGCATAAATATTTAACACCTTGAACACATCTGGGCCTATGTTTGGATTTCCTTGAGTCATCTTGATAATCAGTGTGTTTCAAGGAAATTCCAATTTCACATATTTTGTGGAATTTGTTGCCTTAACATGGCTCATGTTTTCCACTCACCATTTTTAATGTCTATGGAATTTTAAAATATGTTGATTCTATCATGCTTTCTAGTTTATACCACCTCTCTGTACTCTTTATTAAGCTAGCTAAAAATTTTCAATTTTAGTGATGTGTTCAAAATACCAACTTTGAATATCATTGATTTCGTTTAATGTTTGCCCATTTTTTATTGAATTGATTCCACTTTTATTTTCATTTCTTTTGTTTGTACTTATTTTTCTTCCTTTCTGTTTGTTAAGGAAACAAAGAGTTTTTTTTTTAATTTTTGGTCTATTATAAATGTTTAAAGAAATAAAATTTCCCTTTACTTGCTACATCAGTGGTATTGTACACATTTGATATGTCTTATTTTTCTTTATTAAATAGTCCAAATACTTTTGTAATTTGCTACCCTGTTTCTTTTTTGATCCATATGTCATTTAAAGTGAGTTATTTCCTGTTTTAGGAAGAATATTTTCTCATTTATGTGAGACTATCTTGGCCCTTCCCAAGAGATATCTCATCAGTGAGAGACTTAGACATGGAGTCACAACACACCAACGTCTCCACGAAACAATAGATGGATCTTAGGGGAGGCTAGGGAAATACCTTGTATACACTCTCAGACAACTGGCCAGAAACATTTGGGACACCAGAGACCTAAGAAAAATCAAACACACCAAAACGAAATTAACAGCTCTGAAAACTTTGATCCATGGCCTACAAGAGGAGACTAAAACTCCTGTGCTAAACCTAAAACAGGATGAGTGACTGCTTAAAAATATTTTAATAATAATCACATTTTCTTAATACATAAAATTTCTATTCTGCTATCATACCAGGACTCAAGAAAATTATAACTTGATTAAGAAAAGATAGTTAATCTATCCTAATACTAAGTTTATAAGATGTTCAAATTATCTGAAAAGGATTGTAATTAAACCATTATAAAAATATTTTAACAAGCAACTTATCTTGAAACAAATAGTCTGAAAGTAAAAGGAAGAATGTGTGAGAGAGAGAGAGAAAGAGTATAAAATCTCTAAACCAAGAACGTACAATAGATTTTATAGAGCAGTGCATACTACTATGACAGGTCAACTTCATCTCTAAGATAAACTGTATGCTAGACCAAAAATAAAACATACAAATTTAGATGGATTGAAATATATAATCTATGTGTTGCCTGTCTTCATCTGATAGATGAAAGGAGATATATCTCCATAATTCTGCTTCAAGATGCTTTCAGAAAACGTGCAAATTTGGTCAGCTTCATTTATAGTATTCATCATTTTTTGATATTTTTTCATATTTATTTCTCATGTATTGTTGAGAAAATTACTATAGCAGTTTGAGTTATTTGTTATGGTTGTGCTGGATAAGGGTACATTGTGGCATTTACAAAAGTTCTTACAATGTATCAAATAGATCATACTTGAGTTCATCCTCTCCTTCATTCTCTTTTACTGCCCCTCCTCCCACTTCTGGAATAGTTTCAACAGGTCTCATTTGTCCATTCACCTACATGTGTACACAGTATTTGCACTATATTCACCCTCCCCAACTGGTACCAATCCCCCAAGCAAGACCTGTTCTTCCCTCCTGTTCTCTGATTTTGTAAAAGAAAGAAGTGTTATTTTTCTTGTTTAAGATTACTTTAGCTGAATTTAAGAGAAACATGTGACTCCTAAAACAAAACCAAGAAAAAAAAAGATTATTTTACTTGGAGTTCCCTGTGACACTTCCGTGTGTGTTTGTGTGTGTGTGTGGTGTTTGTATACATTATAGCCCAATTTGGTTCTCCTCTATTTTCTTTCCAGCTTAGTCCCTTTTCTTATGGTGGTTTCAATTGGTTTAAAAATTCTATGTTCATTCTCATATAGAGAGTACATCAACCATATTTACCTTCTTAATTTCCTTCTTTTATCTCATCCTCTCATATTTGATCTTCCCATAGTGTGACCTGCTTTTCATAATATTGCTAAATTTGTATTAGGTCTATAGAGAAAACGTGGCTTTTGGCTTTCTGAACCTGGCTAATTTCAGTTAAGATAATGTTCTCCAGTTCTATCCATTTACCTGAAAATGACAAAATTGCATTCTTCTTTGTCACTAAATAAAATTCCATTTCACATAAATACCACATTTTTTAATCCATTCATCTGTAGTGGGGCATCTTGACTGTTTCCACAGTTTATCTATTGTGAATAGAACTGCAGTCAACATGGGTGTGCAGGTGCCTTTATTGTAATCTGACTTACATTCCTTTGGGTATACCCCTAGGAGTGGGATTGCTGGATCATAAGGCAGTTCTAGTTTTAGATTCTTAAGGAGCTTCCATATTGTTTTCCATAGTGGTTGTACTAATTTACGTTCTTACCAGCAGTGTATGAGGGCTCCTTTTTCCCCACATCCTCATCAGCATTTGCTGTTGTTTGTGTTCTTGATGGTAGCCATCCTAACAGAAGTAAGGCAAAATTTTAACATGGTTTTGATTTGCATTTCCTTTATGACCATGAATGGTGAACATTTCTTCATGTGTTTTTTAGCTATTTGGACTCGTTCCTTTGAAAAAGCTCTGCTCAGTTTATTTGCTCATTTTTCATTATGTCATTGACTTTTCAGAGTTTAGTTTTTTGAGCTCCCTGCTATTTTGGTTATCAATCCCTTGTCAGATGTATGGATGGCAATTATTTTCTCTCATTCTATGGGCAGCCTCTTAAATTTAGAGATCCTTTCTTTTTGTTGTGAAGAAGTCTTTTAATTTATGTAGTCCCATCTGTCAATCATGCGTTTTAGTTACTCAGCTTTTTGAGTTTTATTTAAGAATTCATTGCCTATGCCTATTGCTTCCAGTGTATTCCCTTCAAAGTTTTGGGTTTCATATTAAGGTCCATAATCCATTTTGAGTTGATACTCGTACAGGGTGAAAGACCTGGATCTAGTTTCAG